TCCACTCATTGCCTCTAAGTCACTTCTCCAAGTCTTGTTGCATAGGGGACCGTGCTTTCAACACTTCAGCTTTTGGGAGATATTTTGGACTCAAAGCATAACACCACATTGAGACTAGATGTAAATCGCTTTACATGATTATTTCTAGTCAGTCAGTCAGCACTTTCTAACTCAAGTCTTTAATCAACGTCAGAAAATTAAATTCAATTATGCCTTTGATTTTTGCTTTTTTATGATTGTTTGGTCTCCTTCAAATAAATAATTAGTTTATGCCACATTGTAATGATTCTTTATCATGCTTTGATCCTTTTTCATCTAAACTTGTTATCTTATACCACCTTATCCTAATGTCCTTTTATCTTTTCCTGGTTTATCCTGATGACTTTCTGTTCCTTGGTTTTGTTTTCCTTTCTTCCTTCCTTCCTTCCTTCCTTTCATTTTCTTTCTTTCTTTCTTTTTAAGTATGCTTACTGAGCAACATTAAACTCACAAAATAGAGTTCTATAATAATCTCCAATAATCTGTAATTTTTATTGTTCCAATGACTAGAAAATATCAAAATGACAGTCTCTCAATATTTCTATGAGTTTTCAATGTTGTCTTTGCTCTTCTGTTGAAATCTTGTTTTTTATTTTGTTAAAACAACATGTAGAATTTTTTTTTTCTTATCCTTGGTTAAATGTTCACTAACCAACCATTTTCAGTGGTAGCCACTGAATCTTTTTCTCAGATTTGGAGGGAAATCTTCAGTGTTTGTCGAAGATTTCCTCAGTATTTTTCCTCAGTATGATTCCTCTGGATTGAATAGAGACCTTCTCCTACACGTGCTGACTAGGTTTCTGAGGTTTTCAGTAGGATGAGTTCGTGAAAAAATGTCACCTCCAGGACATGTTTCTACCAGGCTCTTATTGCATTTGCCTCTATCTGTACATTTGTGGGAGTTTCATTCCTGACAATTCAATACAATGCCTCCAACTTCTCTCTATATTCTGCCCTGCTATTTGTGACAGATGTGAAACTATAGAAAAGAAGGGGCAAATGAACTCATAACTCAAAAATTGTATTTGTGGATAAATGTAATTTACCACTTAAAAATGAATTAAGAATAAGAATCATATGACTATATCTCAACAGATGCAGAAAAAGCCTTTGATAAAATCCAGCACCCATGCATGTAAAAAATGCTGGAATAAACCCAACTATTATGTGTAACTGTAAGGTTCGAATTTTAAAAATTCTGGAGAAAATAGGGATAGAAGAAACTTACCTCAACATTACAAAAGCTTTATATGACAGAATCTAAGTCAACATCATCTTGAATGAAGAAAAATGGAAAGCAATTTCTTTAAAATCAGGAACAAGATAAGGATGTCCACTCTCACCATTTCTATTCAATATAGTTCTTGAAGCTCTAGCCAGAGCAATCAGGCAACAGAGGAAAATTAAAGGGATATAAATAGGAAAAGAAGTCAAGCTATCTCTGTTTGCTGATAACATAATTCTATATCTAGAAGAACCAAAAATATTTCACTAGAAAGCTTCTTGAGCTAATCAATGAATTCAGCAAAGTAAATAGCACACAAAATCAATACTGATAAATCAATAGCTTTCCTATACTCCAACAGTGATTTTGCTGAGGAAGAAATCAGAAAAAAAAAAATCCGTTTTACGGTAACATCTACAACAACAACAAAATATTGGGGAATTTATCTAATCAAAGAGGTGAAAAATCTCCACAATACAAATTAGAAATTACTGCAGAAAGAAATTGAAGATGATGGAAAGACCACTCATGTTCTTAGATAAGTAGAATTAATATTGTCAGAATAGATGTATTACTAAAAGCAGTCTATGGATTCAATGAAATCGCCATAAAAATACCAAAATACTAATGACATTCATCACAGAACTAAAAAAAAAAAAGTCCTTAAATTCATTTGGAAGAATAAAAGATGAAGAATAGTCAAAACAATTCTGAGCAAGAAAACTGATACTGATACAGCAAGTATCGCAATACCCAATCTCAAATTACAGTACAGAGTTACAGTAAGAAAAATAACATGGTATTGGCATCAAAGTAGACATGAAGACACATGGAACAGAATGGAAAACACAAAGACAAACCCATATACTTACAGCCATCTGCTGATACATGACAAAGTTACCAAAAATACATGTTGGAGAAAAGATGGCCTTTTAAACAAATGATTCTGGAAAAACTGGATATTAATATGTAGAAGAATGAAACTAGCTTTCTATTTATCACTCTGCACAGAAGTCAAATCAATATGGATCAAAGACTTAGGAATTAGGACAGAAATCTTGCAACTGTTAGAAAGAAACACAAAATCAACATTCCATCATTTAGGTGCAGGCACTGACTTATTCAATAAGATTCCTAAAACTCAAGAAATAAAAGCAAGAATCAGTAGCTGGGATGCCATCAAATTAAAAAAGCTTCATCACAGCAAAGGAAAATGACTAAGGGAGTCAAGAGAGAGTGTACAGAGTAGGAAAAAGTCTTTGACAAGGGATATTAATCTACAAAGAACTCAAGAAAGTTAACATGAATAATCGGGCAAAAGAACTAACATTTGTCAAAAGAAGAAACACAAATGGCCAACAAATGTATAAAATAATGTTCAACATATCGAGCACTCAGGGAAACAAAAATAAAAACAACACTAAGATTTCATTTTGCTCCTGTCAGAATGACAATTATCAAAAACACAAATATATTAAATGTTGAGGAGGATGTGGGGGGGAAGTGTACACTCATTCATTATTGGTGGGACTGCAAATTAGCACAACTACTACTCTGGCAAGTAGTATGGAGATTCCTCAAAAAACTAAAAATGGAGCCACCATATGACCTAGCTATCTCACTCCTTAGTATTTATCCAAAAGTACCAAAATCAACCTGCAATAACAATAATGCCATATCAATATATAATAGCCATATATATTATATATAATAGTTTTATATATATATAAAACTCCAGAGTATATATGAATTTTACTTAGCCATAATAAAGAAAGTAATTATGGGGTTTGCCAGTAAATGCATGGAACTGGAGAACATCATGCTAAGTGAAATAAACCAGACTCAGAAAATCAAGTGTCATATGTTTCCTCTCATATGTAGAAGCTAGAGCAGAACAAAGAGAACCAAGTAAACAAAGTGTGGAGCAGGGATGGAATACCACCAGAATATAGAGAAGATCAGTGGAATAGAAGGAGATTGAGAGCATAGAAGGAAGGGGGACAAGAAAGGGGAGGAAAAGAGGAATGAACTTTATAAAATTATGTTATACACAAATATAAATATGTCACAGGGAATTTCACCTTTATCTATAGGTAAAAGTATCAATAAAAAATAAATAAACATGCAAAAAGAAGACCAGTAGGGTTGAGGAAGGAGAAAGGAGGAGAGAGGAGGTCATGGAAAGGTGGGGGAAAACGGGAATAAGATAAAATTCCAAGCATGTCTGATTTTGTCAAAATGAATACAAGCACTGCTTATAACTATAATGCTTTAAAAAGAATAATTAATGAATAAAGGATGGTATTTATGGATTATAGAGGTAAATTTGGATTCACTTTGATATATATAAATCAGAAAATATAGACACACATGGTTTTTCTTGTTATCTTTCAGGCCAATGGAGTTGCTTTGTTTTATAATGTAAAGTACATGGTAAGCACAAGTTATTTATATTAATTCTTACTATACACTCTATAAATAGTAAAAACACTTACTAGATTCTGGCAATGGGTTACCAATCAACTACAATCCATTTTTAAGGTTGTTTACACTCTTTTTTAAAAATATAAGTATAGACATTAATGTTGGAGGAGAATAAATTTCAGTCTTTAAAACCACTGTATTTTAAACTGGAATCTCCAAAATTCTCCTGATTAAAAGTCTCACTTGCAGGAACATGGACTAACTAAATTACCACTTGGGTTACACACAATCTATATAATTTTGGTAGCAAAAGACATATCACTAGATACTTCACACCAGAGTCCTCTTGATTGCTTCCCCCAGGCACATTCCAACGTTTTACTGCTGCCTGCTTCCTAAACTGCACACATTTTAGCAAAGAGCAAAGAATCTACCCCTTTCTTTCTAACCTTGCTAGCCGCAAACCAAAGGGATGATAGCTAAATAAAAGGCATGATTGGAAATGGAGATATGTGAGTCCAGGTCAAGATTACCCACTTGTTAGGGCACTTGTATGAGTTCTTAATGTCATTGAGTTTAAGTTTTCTCATCAATAAGATTGTACGACATAATGTACATAATCAATTTGGCACATAGTAGCCCCCCAATTAAAAGTAGTTTTTGTTTCAAGTAAGTTTCTACAACCATTATTTAGTTTTTAAAAGAAAAAAGTATTTCCTTCACAACTAAAGAAAAGCCTCTCTCTGCCTTTTCTGTTAGAAACAAAAGGATAAATATTCAATGAAAAGATAGGAAATAAGATCAAGATTGCTATTAATTTGTATATTATATTTGTTGTTAGTATTTTCTTTCTTGGTGATAGCTTAACACGTGTATTTGACTTATTGGTGGAGATTTTGTTTAAGCAATTAAACTGGGAGAAAGAATATACCTACAGATAGATTTATCTATAGGGTAAATATTAATTCAAATTTAACTTTTCTTTTAAAAAGTCAGGTTATTTTTTTTCCTTACACTAACAGAAGATTTTTTTAAATACAATAATTACAACAGTATGCCACATCTTTGTAATACATCATAAGTTTTTGAAAGGAAGTTCATTTGATCTTTTTTTTATATCAATCATTGGGTTCATTAGAACTAAAATTTTTATTTCCTTTAGTAGATCAATAATATTTTATCTCTAAATTAAAGTTATTTCATAATATTTCAATACTGATCTCTAAATAGAAGACATTTTGTTACAGTTTTTAATCATTTAAGTTTCTTTGCTTACCATTTTATCAGTGAGCAACAGTGGGGTCTTACTCACCGGTAGACATATAGAGGTGTGATCCTGTTTGTTGTGGCAGTAATTGCTCTTTTATGATCTTTTTCCGACACAAGATTCTTCTTATCTTGGTGTGGAAAACAAGGTAGGAATACAGTAACGGGCTTCTGGAAAGGATGTGTTGATGGGTGCTGAACATGAATCAGAGGACTTGTGGACAGTACTGAGTAGGAAGCTTCTTGCTGTGCTTTTAAATATGCAATCAGAGATGGGTCCACTGGTTGGATCTAAACAAAGGAAAACACTGTTTATATTTCTATATTTTAAAAGCAAAATATATAAAACATTAGCAAATATTGCAGAATATAATTCCTAAGCCATTTTCTTAAAATTTGACAGGACATATCTTCATGCATTACTGTGTCCACTGTGGACTGGAAACAACACTGTTTTATATTATAGAACAGCCTCTGGGATCCTTGTTTACAAAGTCTTTCTGAAATCTGGCTTCCCTGTCCTGTGTTATAAATAACTAAGGAGCACTCTAAATTGTAGGCAACAAAATGACCTAGAAAACAAAAGAGACATTTTATATAATTTCTAATTATAACTATTGTTAAATCAAGTGATCTTTAGAAACTAGAAAAACAAGACTATATTTACTTAAGTGTTTCCTTCTCATATAAAAATGGTTAATAATAAAAATAGATAACATAATGCCAAAATTTCAAAATTTATGGAGAATATGAATAAAATATTTATATTATGTTTTCCTCCCATCTTTCTGCTTCACTTAGCACTTAGGATAATAATTGGGAGAAATATGGGCATGAGTTGAGCCTGGAAAAATAGGGAATATTATTTGAAGAAATAAATATTCAAAAAGTGACACTGATATATCATTATACTCTTTGAAAACGGTGTTTGCATATGTTAAATCCTGACTCAAAAAAAGCTAATGTTTCATAATTAAGTGAAATCAAACAGTCATAATAATAAAGATTTTAATTGATTAGCTATTTTTGTCATACTCTCAGATGCAAATCTTGAGTCATATAAATGTCCACAAATCTGCCATCAATTGTTTCATATATACTCAACATTGTGTTTGATAATAAATATAATAAACAAGACAGTGCCAAATACCAGCTGGGAAGGACTTTCAAACAAAGCATGGATATGTTTGGGAGTGAAACTCAACATGCTCAGAATCATCATATTCGCTGATATCACTGCATGCTAATCCATAACAGGTAAACTCATTGACTGTTACACGAAATATTTGCATCTTGTTCATCTTTAGGGCCAGCAGAGCTAGGAGAAGGAGCTAATTGATTTCTCATATTTACCTTTAATTGTACCAGCACCGATGAGCTGAAAACTCCTGGGGGGTAACTCAAGGATATTCGGGAATCCACGCATGACTTCACAGTGAGGCCGTTTTTGGTTACTGTAAAGGACTCTCTCTTTAAACAAGACACAACTGAAAATATACCCAACTTGTAAGCTTTCACGGCCGCGCAGGTTCCCTGTGTGGATTACAGATGTTAAAACAAGCTACAGCACTGTCTGGGGAAGTACATGCTGTCCACACTCTGTGAACTCTCAGAAAAACCCATAGGTTGTCAATATGATCACCAGGATTTGGAATGATCCAATTAACTGAAAATGGGTTCTTCTGTGAGATAAAGTAGAAACAGCTAACTAAAAGCTTCTCAAATTCAGATTGCATGACACACAAACAAGAAAAGTCCATGTATTTTTAAAATTAGATCCTCTCAAATGTACATGTATGGTAGGCGATCATATTCAGTGTTCTCACAAATATTAATTGCTTCTGGAGTTCTAGACTCCTTTAGCTAGAATGGATTTTAAATACTAGTCTTCTTTTTTTTATTCAGAACATTCAGCCCTGTCTTTGGGAATTCTGAGGAGTAGAATTTCATTATTTGGGTAGTTTATTCAAATGCTGGAGCACCTGTACTGTTAGCAAATTCGTCCTTCTGACAGCTCAGAATCTTTTAGGATGCCAAAATTAAGTCATTTTCTCTATTTCTCTTCATGTAGTGGGAGCAGATGACTGCAGAAGGATACATTTGCGTTTCTTTTTTATGTAGTGACATTCAAATGTGTAATCATATATGCAGGCACATATTCAAGCTTTTTATATCACACAAAAGAGAACTGAGTACATAAATGAAAACGAAATGACCTCCTCATGTAATCACCAAAGCTTAAAATGAGGAGGCAGACTTAGATGTAATTCGGTGTATTCATGCTTCCCCAAACACCAGCCAGTGGACTCCGCCCTAGCATGAGTGGATAATCATGCACACACACACACACAAACATTTCAAGGACAATCACAATGGAAAATAATCTATCATTTGAAAGCTGACTAAGGAGGAGATTTCACAATATCACTGCATGAATTCATTGTTGGGAAAATTCAAGGCATGAATGTTCTCAACTGGCCAGAGGGAAAATAGTGAGAAACAGGCAAGAAAAGTCTCCTGGAAACCAGGAGAACACATTTGGCAGACACTGGGCAACAAAAAGGGTTTTTAGGAATTAGAATTTTTAAATGTCATAGGACCCACAGAAAAAACTGGAAAGAATCCAGGATTTAAGTTTTCTTGAGCTAAAACTAGGGATAACTACCATCAGAATACTGCAAAAGGAAAAGTATACGGTTTTATTTTTCATGGTAGACCATGATTCTCTTTTTCTTTTGCTTTGATCATCCATTTACTGAGCAAATTTCAAACTCATTTTGTGGAAAGCCCACATGCTGGGAGCAGATTTTACTTTACTGTGGCAGTCACGCAAACTGGCCAGACTAAAAAGTCTAACAAAGGGCAGTGTGGATCAGACTTTCATACTTAATGACTTGCTAGACTAAATATAAAATGAATTAGTTGAATGAGTTGGAAAGGGTGATTAGAATAGGCTTTGTTTGCTTATTCAATTGCATAATCTTGTTTGTAGTTTGGAAAAACCAAAATCAGAAAATATAGAGATATGTTATAAAGATTTTTGACATGTATTCCCCAGGCTCTGTCTTTTCTACTTACATAAAGATGGAAAAGACGAATATTTTAATAGGTTAAAAAGAACCTCAAATATTAGTCCCCATCAATTCTACAGTACTAAATTTAATAATTGTGTATATCCTTTCTTTGCAACATATGAATTTGTGATCATAGAGAGTTTCAGATTTATTACAGTAGAGTCAATAATGAAAAGTGACAATTTATTAACAACTAGCCTGTATTTATAGGTTTCCTCTTAGGCTCATAAATGCGTTGTCTACTTAATACTTAACAATCTTATCAGGTGGACACTATTATCGTGTTCATTTTTCAGATAAAGAAACTAAGTCATAGAAAGAGTTTTTAATTTACACAAGTTCATGCTGCCAGAAAGTATAGAAACCTGATTTCAGACCCCACCAATCTTCCCCCACCTCCCCAATACTGACCACTATGCACACTATCTTCTATGTGCACGCTGAATTCCATTTATAGACTTAATTACTAGGTCAAGGGAGGCACACACAATTTTTCCTTTTTTGCATAGTTTAAAACTCATGAATGATAAAAATAAAGTCATTAACACATGGGGATTTTAACACTCTTAAATTTAGCCAGGGTCCAACACATTAGATATGCTATTCTAAAGCTAGGCTAAAGCATGAAGTTAATTAAACTATGATGTCACTTTTGTTTCCTAAGTGAAAAAATAACACTTGCTGAGTCCTAGATCCAAGTTCTCAATTCCTGACATTGGCAAGTCATTTCTGCTCTCTGATCTTTATAGATGGCAAAAAAGTATAAATGTATTGGCACAAACCTATCCACCCTTTGTTATCAATGGAGCCATTATATCTACAATATAATCTATTAGTCTGCCCTACAGCAAATGCAAATGTAGCCAAGGATTTACTGACCTTGTAACTTCCTCTCATTCCTTCTAGAGAATTTGGGGTTAGGTAACTTGACTGAAGGTTTATGTCAGACACTTTCACCATGATGTCTCTGTAATTTCCCCTGTAACGTGCAGTAAATGGAATTGCAATGCATATTGGAAATGGAATTCTCTCTTCCTTATCTGAGCATTCAATGGAGATGACATTGCTAACCAGCTCTTCATTATCACTCACTATTAAGCAACTCATGCTGTTAACTATCCGGCACTCCAGCTGCTGTAGGACACGTGATGGTGCGGTAATGTAGCAAGACACTTGGGGGTCAGACTCCTCGCTCAGCATTAGATACCTGCAGAAACAACAGAATGTCATTTTTCCAATTATTATTATTTTTAAATGTACTTCGTAGCTTTCTGCAGAGGGCACAAACTCTAGAGCATATTGCCTTGGTACGAACCTCAGTTCTCCCTATAAAACCTGTGACCTTGGGAGAGGTACTCTACCTGTCTATGCCAGTTTCCTTAACTATAAAGTAGTATTAAATGATATCTACTTTATAGGAAAACTGTGGGTTAAGTGACCTATTATATATTAAGTAATTTGAAAGTAGGCATTATACTATATGTTAGCCATAATTATTGTTTACTAATGTGACTACTATTGTTATTTATGTGATTGATTTATTTCTTAGTATCGTTTACTTCATAATAAGAACTTGAAGATTGCTGATGCTTCTTGATAGACCAAGAACTAATTACTAAATGGTTTCCCACATTACAAGGTAAGGGAGTACTTGTGTACAAGGTATTATAATTGTATAAACACACTAGATCAAAGAGTGATGTGAACTCTATTTTTTTTTAGAAAGATTGAGAATGGTTCAGAGATTGAATTCAGTAGTAATTAGGAACAGATTGTTTGCAATCCTCAAATAATCATTCCAAAAGCTTAATTTGACAATATTTTTCTCATTTTAACTACTATAATTACCAAAGACTTTTAGAGCCTTATAGATTTAAACTCAAACTTGAGATCAGTCACTTTCTATTTGTATGACCATAGACATCAATAATTATTATTAAAATAGCTAAAACTTAATGTTTTCTATGGTCCAGGTTTTAAGTCTACATAATTTCATTAATCTTCACAACTATTGTGTCAGATGAGGACTACTATCATCACCATTTTACAGACAAGGAATCAGGGTTAGAAAATCTAACCACAGGGCTGGGGATGTAGCTCAGCGGTAGAGTGCTTGCCTCGTGTATATGAGGCTCTGGGTTCCATCCTTACCACCACAAAATAGAGATGGAGGCTGAAAAGAAAGAAAGAAAGAAAGAAAGGAAAGAAGGGGAGAGGGAGAAGGAAGGAAGAAAAGAAAGAAAATTTAGCTTGCTACATATCTCACAGGTTGTAAATTTTAGAACCAATAATTGGCTCCATCCATATTTAACACAATAACTCAAACTCAACTCTTACACTTCCTCAAATGATTCCAAAGTACTGTTTGCTTCATCCATAATCATGTGTTGTGAAGACTGAATGAGACAAAACATCTAAACTTCTTATAGTAATGAATTAGCATAAGCTGGGTACTCAGTAACTATTAGATCTCTATTAAAATTACCAACTTGAGTTTCTCCTCTTCTTCTATTTGTCATTTTGTACTAGGGAAATGATTGAAACATAGCAAAGGTAGAGAGAAATAAAAAGATCTATATATTTAGCACAGCAATATTTTACAGTTACAAAATAATCTTATCTGGGTTTGGTATATAGAATTTTATTAGTATATTTTACATACTGGTATGTATCAGTACCAATATATGTACTGATATTATTGGTATATAGAATTTTAAAGGGCACTTTAATGCAGAAATCTAAAAAAGATGCTCATATTACAGAGAGAATCATTTATTTATATTTATAATTCTGAACTCATAAAGTGAGAAGGAACAAAAGATTACATAGAGCATTGGTCTGCTAGAGTATTCTCTAGTGATAGTGATGAAGTTAATTCATAAAATGAACATCGTTCAATTGAGGGTACAGTGACTTCAGGAATAATCCACCTCTGTGTCTGGACACTCTCTCAATGCACTCTTCTTCCAGAGCTATGGGTTCCCAATCAACAGATGAAGTAGGATGAGGAGAACTACAAAGGCTTCCCATACTCCTCAACCTTAATAAAATACTATCTAGTCTCTAGTCACTAAAATAATCTTGTTGGTTTATTCTAGTCTTGTTTCTCCTTTGTGTACACACCAGGACAGCTACTCTGAAGAAGATAGGGTTCTTCTGGAAAGGTAACCATACAGGAACTACAGCAGATTCTGAGAAAGGTTTTGTTTATGACATGTACTTTTATGTGGTGTGATGGCTTCCTAGCCTGGAAGACTGGAATGAATAGTCATCTTCTTAAACATGCAAGCCAAGCACAATTGATTTGGATGCCATAAAGAGGAAATCACTAACTGGGGAACACCTAAAGGAGGTGTTAGAGGGAGTGGTTCAGGCCTATGACTCACTAACTGATGTTTTGAGTCATTTCTGAATGTGAGGATATAAAGTGTTGATGTTTTTCTCAACTGAGATGGGTAACCACATGCTAAAAACTGTAGCAGTTGGTTTGCAGGGACAGTAATTCTTACAAACCACAGCAGTCTTTCCTATATTGAACGAGTCATCTATACACTTCATTAGAGTCTGACTGTGGGGACATCACAGCAAAACTTAACCGAACCTCTTCATTTCATAGATAACTAGGGTCAACGTGAGCATATTGACTTGCCAAAGATCCCCAACTCTGTTAGTGATGTTGTCCTGGAAATGGTACTGTAAATTTATCTGAAAGAGAATCAATACATCATAGCAGTGATGTGGAGGGGATAGGTGAAGAGAGGTAGTGAGGAGGAGGCAGGGAAAGTGAGGGTAGCTGAGGGTGAAATGAAATAGCACACTAACATCTAGCTGGGCACCAACACCTACAGAGTGGCATGGTGGTAGGCCCTTTCCATGATTTTCTCCTCTGACCTTATCAAATATACCCAGGAAATATATATTATTTCTATAAACAAGAAAAATGAGGTCAACAATGGAGCAAATTGCTCAGGGTCACAGAAATAGTGTGTAATAAAACAGAAAATAAAAATCAAGTCTATCTAATTCCCAAAACAAGTGGTCACCCCCCAGTCCCTATTGCTTCTAGGGGTATTGTTTATCTGGGAAATTATGGTTTGTGGATATTTTGTTCTATCTAGACAAAGGATACTTGCAGTTTTGTGAAGGGGATATAATTCATAAAAATACATCAGATTCATAAATCTTTTTCCCTCTGTTTAAATCATGGACATTTAGAGAGTCTCATGAGAACTGTGAAATTTTTCCAAGGAGATAAAATTGGCATGAACATACAGAATCAAATTTAAAAGCTCCCAAGGCTTATCCATGAGTTTCCAGAGTTCAAAAGACACAGGTTAAAAAATTATGGTGATTTTCTTGAAGCCACAAAAAACATAAATAAATAAGAGGCTAGAAAATGTTCTTTTAATTTTTTTTAACATTCTTCAATCTTCTACTTTTTTCTTACAATTCAAAAAGTAATGATTTGAACAATTGTTTTTATTACTTTCTCATGTAGTTAATTCTTTCTTATTTTAAAGAAACATTTAATACATATGTTTTCTAAAACTGTAAGAAACAAATAATATAAGTAATGGCAGCCACATCAATTTCTGAGGGGGGAATTTAACCTGAATTACTGATGTATAATATGTGTCAGAGATATGACATGAAAATGTAAAATCGTATTCATGTATAAATAACATATATGTTGGTATGGTCCTGATGATTGTACTTTCTTAAAATTCATATGTTGAAATCCTAACAACCAAGGTAATGGCATTAAGAGGTGGGGCCATCTGGAAGATGCTTAGGTCCTGAAAGTAGAATCTTGATGAATGGGATTATTGCCCTCATAAAACAGGCCCCCCAGAAACACTCCCACCCCTTCCACCATGTGCACACACAGCAAGAAGGTGCCATCTATGAACAAGAAAGTCCTCACTACACACTGATATGCCAACACCTTCTCTCTCTTCTCTGCTTCCAGAACTATGTTGTTTAAAAGGTCCCACTTGGTGCTATTTTGTTATAGCAACCCAAATGGGCGAAGACATTTCCTAACTACAAAAACACATAAACAGGTAGATATTGAAAGGCACATCTCACATTGTGTTTACTTACTCCTTTTCCATTATGCTACTCTTTTGCTTTAGACTGTCTGAGTCACTGGGAAGATTATTCACAAGTTTACTGGAGATATCCCGTGTTGTTGAGGATGTGGTAATCTCTTCTCTTTGGCTTTCTGAAGTCCCTTGAATTTCTCTTTTTGTTATCTGGATTATGTCATGAATCTCCTTCTTGTTGCCATTTATGTTCTCAGCAGTCACGTGTCCTATTTGTTTATCATCTTCATTTTCTGCATTATCTGGGAACATGGTGTTCTGTGACGTTTCTTGCCCTGTAACATTTCCATTCAATGACACATTGTTTTCTCTTTCCACAAATTCAGAATTTATATGTGTTTTATTTTCTTTTAACTGAACCTGATTTGTGTAATGGCTTTCCTCCTCATTTGTGGGAGAAACAGTAGCTGTTTCTATGACATTTAGTTCCTCTCTTGCAGCAATGTCTGTTGCTTTGGTGTCATGAATGGTGGTCATTGTCCGCTGTGGAGTATGTTCATCATGCATCCTGCATAAATTACACATCTCCTTTTCTTCTTTCTTTAGAAGAAGAGCAGTGTTCCCCAAATGCTCCTTCATTTTCATGAGGCATTCTATGAAAGCAATAATTTCTACACACACACACATGCACACACACACACACACACACACACACACACACACACAAAAGAATAAATACTAAACTAAACCAAATCATGCTTCTCCAATGAAATATGGCAAAAAAAAATCTTAGAAACCTACCAAGACCCTTAGTGGGTACTTAAGCCAACCTCCTGAAGAAAGGCTGATTTGCACAACTGACCTTTTAAACACTTCTAGGAACTAGAAACAAGCTACTTTTAAACATGGTAGAAAAAGTACATTTGATCTCTCTTGCTCAAGAAAATGCTTTGAATTTTTAAAACAAATACCATGACCTCCTTCTCTGGGGTAAGAACTGAAGTTGGCTACTCCCTCAATCATTCCTCTTTTGGTGTGATTTTGAGATTTGCTCCTTTGCCTCTGAAGTTACTACAGTTAAACAATTACCCATTCAAAATGATGAGCCTAAAATTAGCTAAACACTCCAAATGAGGCCTGGAGAGCAGAAATGCTGTAGCTGTGTTTTTTTCTGCTGATATATTGGGGAAGAGCTGTTTTCTCCCATGAGAATAGGATTAGATTTACGCCATTTCTCCTACTGGATTGGTGGTCATTAGAAATTTTCAAATTGGTCGTTCAAAGAGCCGCTCTTATTATGCCTACAGGAACCTATGGTGTCTGCTCAAAGGCTGCTCAATGAAGTCCAGGCTCTTTACGTCAGTGTAAACCTTCGTTAGGACCTGATTTGATGCCATCCGTCACTCCATTCCCGTTTCATAACAGTCTCTGATCTGCACATCCCTCTTCTTGCAAATGACAAAGGTCACCTGATGACTTCTAGAGGGCTTAGCATCTCATTGGTTTTTAGGATTAGATTCTGAACTAAAGAATTTGTGATTTAAGGGTCCATAGCTCAATGTTTTCAGAATCATCACCAAATTATCCCTTCACTAGTCTGGGCTTATCTTTGGGCTCCAGTTCTGACAACCTATTCTTTGTCTTTTACCGGAGACCCTGTCTTTATTTTGGACTCCCTGTTTTCTGGTAGCTGAAGACTTGTCTTGACATTACCTAAGATCATGTTTGATGTTCTCTAGAGACACTGGAAACCTCGTCATGAGCTCCAGCTGACAGCTCCTGGACCCTGCTGCCTTTGGCAGATTTCTTTGATGCTCACTATTTGTCCTCTAGACTGAATTTCTTAGTAATATTCACCCTGCTTTCCTGATGGATTGAGACTGCCCCTGTAGCTTGACACTATTATTTACAGCTGGACTTCAGGATGCCACCTATACTCTTGGGTAGAGTAACTGCTATTGTCTAAGATTGTATTCATCAATTCATTCATTTTTCATGCCTCACTGTATGTTTCAGCATCTATAACTGGGCCCGTTCCCAAGAACTTGCCCTATAGGTGTGGGGGGATCCAGTTTCCTATCCCACATCACCCCAATCCTTCAAGTTCTTTTGTAATTAGTTATCCTGGCTCAAATGTCTCTAGAAATAGAATGTTATATTCCAATATAGAAAAACTGCTTTTCTCTGCCCCAAACTAGGCCTCTAAGCCTTGTATCCTGTTAATAATACCTCAAGATTCTCAAGGTTCTAACTACATAATTCCAATTCATTACTGAAGTTTCATTACTGAAGTTTCATTTCAAATATCACGTTTTGGTTTTTGGGTTTTTTTTTTTTCCTGGAAAAATTCTAAATGTATCACCTAAAAATAGGATCCTGTCTGATTCCAAAGAGATAAGACTTCAGTCTTTTATCTCCAATAGGACCAACTTGCCACTTCCTTGCATTATTATGAATTTGTCTTACCCTATTCTATTGCCAGTCCCTTATAAACAGAGACTCTACCATAGGCTTGTTAGTCTGCTTGTAGCATCTCTTAGATGGTGTCCTATCAATATTTCTTAGAGAAAGGAATAAATCAAAAAGATACTTACCTTGCCTCCAGATACATGCGTTCTCCTTGTCAAGCAGCACATACAGCTGCTGGCAGGTGGAACACAGGGTCCCTGCAGTGTGCTCCAACAGTTGGTGAAGAGCCCCACTGAGTTCCTGACCCAGAAAGACCACTGTGGCCAACCAGGTGGCCGCCCCAGGCCCCTCACAAAGGTCATCACCCAGGAGTGCCTGCTTTAGCATTTGGTTTTGTCTCCAAATCTGCTTCAATATTTGGCCTAGTTTACCTGAGCCCAAGTCTTCTGTATCCATTTTATGCTCCAAAAATAATATGCCTCTTTCCTGCCAGCAAAGCCTAGAGGTTTAGCTGATTCAAACCTGGTGATGGTTATTTCTTCTAAAATCTAGGAGAAGATCCAAGTCAGCTAGTCAAGCACTTTCCTGCAACATAATAGCTTATTCAGCTTGTTGTTGACTAGTGAAAAGTTACTAGGTGACCAAAGGAGGGGCGTTTCCAAACCCTTTGCTCTTGTGTACAGAATAGATTAATCACGGGGATACAGCTACTTCACACAACCCAACTCTTCAGCTCGCTTTTGCAAATTCAACACACTAATGAAGCTCAAATCCTTTTCAGCTTTGACACAACAAAATATGGATTCCAGAACTGGCAATACGCATTCTTAAAAATACTTGTGAATGAAAAACAAATATGATGTCCTGTTTGTTTCAAGGCAAAGTATAGGAATGGGATATAGATAAAATAAGATCAGCTATAAAAATTGATAGTTGTCAAAACTGGATATAGTTACATATGGGGGTCCTTACAATTTACTGATTAGCATATATATATATATATATATATATATAGTATTTTTATAGTAAAGAGTTCAAAGAAAAAGGATTCTTCTACTGGAGCAGATCCTACTGCCGTTGTTTAGGTAAGTATAATTAATTCTCTTTTATATGGTAAGTTGGCAGCTAGATGGAGATAGGAACTTGGCCTTCTTACTCCTTGATAATTTCCCTCTAATTGGGAAATACCTTCTCAATAAAAGAGAGCAAACCTGAAGAGTGGCTTTCTCTGAATGAGCAAGGAGTCTTTGCCATATATAATTTAAAAATACAGTCACTGCAAGCTCTCAACTCTGCTGCCCGCTCTGTGAGCCCATTACACATGGGGCAACTGCAGTACAGGACTCCATGGAGGGCCCCCCAGGGAGTGTGCACCAGAACAGGCTGCTTCTGGCTCTCCAATCCCCCTCCCTGAAGAAGGGAGGACACACACCAAAGGTACAGGGTGGTGCATTTGAAAGAGGCTCCTGTTCCCTCAGATGTACTGGAGTGAAATGAAAGCTTTCCAAAGGGGACCTGGAATGTTTCCCTCCCACAGGCAGCACATTATCTCATCTTTAGCACTGGGGCTCTTAGAGCTACACTCATGACACCTGGAAGACTAGATAGGAACACAAGCCCAGGGAATAAAGACAAGAAACAAAGCCACAGGTCTGGGCCTGAGAATCTAAGGGGGGAGTTGAGGAGCAGTGTGGGGACTATTGGCTCCAGGAGAGAGTCTCTGCTGACCATCTTGTTTTGCAGTGACCCTCTGTTCCTTGTGAAAGAAGCCCTATTTTGAAATATGAGTCCATATCACATCATGGATCATATTTTTAAAATATTTTCAGGCTCTTCTCAATATTAAAGACTTTCTGATTCCATTTTAGTTTATTTTCTCTAACTCCTGAAACATATGTGTAATTCCCAAAATAATGTACATATGGCTTTAATTCGGTGCCAATTCTGAAAACTTTCCACTGCATTTACAGAGGGCCAAGCACTATTTAAGTGCTTTGGGGACTTCAGAGAGAGAGAGAGACAACTGCATGAACAGATTATTAAAATATAGCTTAGATTGTTGAGAACTAGGGCAGAAGTATGAACAAAAAGTATCATGAAAACTTTGGGAGTAAAAACTTAATTTTGATTAGAGGCTTAGATGTTTGAATTAGGAGCTAAAGGATGAACAGGATTGGGTCACGTAAGAGAACACAGGGAAGGGACACTGCAACCCAGGAAAACCCCAGAGCGGGCTCACAGAAGGCAAAGTGAGGCTTTGGAGGAAGGTTCGGTTCATGGGTCAGGCAAAGTAGCAAGAAGAAGGGCAGAGAGTCAGGAAGGGAAGTTAGAATTTTATTTTGCACACAGAAGAGAGGAAATATTTTCAAATGAATCTACAATGTGACCAAATCTGTGCTGCAGGGATGCAGGTGGCTTAGATGTCAGAGACACAAGACACAAGGCTTGAGGACCTGCAGACAGGAGAAGGAGATGCCTTACGAGGGACTTGAAGTGGAGTGGATAGAATTTTCAGCTGTCAGGTTGAAGGAGAGGATTAGAAAGCATTGAAAATCCCTCCATTCACTTATTTTAGAAATATTTCTAGATCCCTGATAAAAGAATTGTGCTTGGTAGTGGCATATAACTAAAATTTTCAGTTTAGGGAGCTTCATAGATTGTAAACCCATTCAGGGATTTAGGAGGAACACTGGGATTGATGGGCAGATAATCTGATTAACTTTGGATTTGTAGAGATTCATATAACTCAGAACAATCCTTTAGAATGTGCTCTTAGATGAAAAGTCAGAATTTAGGTGATGAATGAATTCCTGGAAGTAGAAAACATCAAAGAATTTATACCAGGTCTATGTTTAAGTGTTCAATGAAACTGATAAAGAAATGCCAGATCACTGGACCAATCTACATTCATTTCCTCATAGACTTGTGGGAAAATCCTTTCTCAGGGAGGGGGAAAAAATAAAGAAGGAACAAAAACTAACAACCTTTCTTCTCAGCCTCTATAATGTTTGCTGTCCTCAAGCCTCAACTTGTTCTCAGTCTAGCTTCTTAAGAACAAGTAATATTTACAAAATGAGACCTACCACAAGCCACGCTGCTTTGACTTGTTAAAACAAGCATCTGCATGTTCCTGCATCTCGTTTTCAATTAATTGATGTCACTAACCACAGGAAGAACCGACATTTTGCGAGTTAACTGCACAAGTTCATCTGATTGGTTTTAACGTTTGATTAGCATCTTCACTGTCAATACTCGTTATGATTCCTTTTACTTTCTTACTGAAAATCCTGTGCATCCACTGACTTTAAGACGTTAGCAGTCTTGAACTCATTAGAAATATTACATGGTTGAAAGAACAATAATATTTGTTCACATCAAAAGCACCAAAATGTGCTAAAGATAAAATTCAGGTAGGCAGGATAGTCTCTCCTTTGCTATCTGAGGAAATAAGGCTCTGAAGTAGATCTGACCACCTATTAATCCTGTTGGAGATGAGGACAATAAAATTTGGGGGCCTAATAAAGTGTGCTGTTTTCTATGGATTTTGTGGTAAATACTAGTGGGTAGGTCCAATGTAAGAGAGTTATGAATGCTTCTGATTATGACTCCACATTATTAGTTCTATTATCTGATGTTGGCATTTTTTTCTGTAGTTGGCTGCATCAAAGATTTTGTGCAATCAGCCATTGAGTGCCCATCTTGTGTTTGTTGAAGACAGTCTCATACAACTGGAAGAAGGGTAAAAGAAGAAGGAAAAGGAAATTTTAAAAATTTTGTCTTGCTTTTGCTCTCCCCCAATAACTTAGTACACTGGAAAAATGCAAATGAAATATAAGATTTTTCAAAGTGCTTACCGATTGTTAAATGTTTTAAAGGAACAAACGGTAAAAATCAAAGCTAACATTTCTGGTTCAAATGCATATATTTTAACTGCTTCCTTCTAAGATACCAATGAAAAATATGTAAACAATATATAAACTCCAAATAAAGAGAACGGTTGACAAAGGTATCAACAAACTCCTAGAAGATTGAAAGCATCAGACAAGTGATAAGTGATTTGATCAACAAGGACAGTTGACATCTAAGCATATAAATGATGAGGAGGGGAGACAGTTCTTGTCAAAACCTCAGAAGGTTCCAGCATTTGGACACACCTACCAACATTCAGTGTGAGGGTGAACTTGAAGCTATAAACGGAAGTTTTCCTTGTGACTGGTTTTGGGAGCAGTAGATTTCTATGTCCCTCTCCTCTGTCCCAAATAGCTAGGCATCTCTCTCCCACGCATTGAAGCTCTGAGATTTTCTCTATGAAGAAATTGCAGCAGAAAGGACCATGGCTTAGGCTGAATGGAGAAAGGAACGGAAGTACCATGTTAACTATACGGATTATATCCATAATTTTATTTTTCAAAGTTTATTTATTTACCTATGTATTTATTTGTTTCACTGGTATTGAAACTTGAATCCAGGGATACTTTACCAATAAGCCATATCTTTAGCCCTTTTATCTTTTTTTTTTTAAAGAGAGAGTGAGAGAGGAGAGAGAGAATATTTTAATATTTATTTTTATTTTTAGTTGGCGGACACAACATCTTTGTTGGTATGTGGTGCTGAGGATCGAACCTGGGCCGCACGCATGCCAGGCGAGCACACTACCGCTTGAGCCACATCCCCAGCCCCCCCCCTTTTTTTTTTTTTTTTAAATTTTGAGGCAGGGTCTTGCCAAGTTGCCCAGATTGACCTTGAACTTGGTGATCCTCTTGTTGTAGCCTTCTGAGTCTAATGAGTTTCCCCTCTGTTCTTCAGCTTAGCCCTAAATAAGAACACGGGCTGACAAGCATAACATCCTAGGCATAAAATTGAAGACTTCCTCTCTGGAGTAACCAAACACTCTAACTAACTGGTAATGAATCATTTAGTGTCCCTCCCCCAATTCCCAGCTCCTCCCTGTCCCTGCCAACCTTTCCACAATGAAGCTCCTACTCATGAGCCCCATGTATGCAGAGTTTCTACACAATGTTCCTCATGCCTCACCTTTAAGTATGAAGTAACAGCTCAAGAGGTCAGACATTTGAATATGACTCTAACACAAAATTAAAGACTAAAGCTAACAAACCTGAATAAAGGACTTGGAAAAAACAAACAAAGACGACACACAGAAGAGAATAAAACACCAAACACACAATAGCTAGACTGTGGAACCAACCCAGATGCCCTTCAATAGATGAATGGATAAAAAAATGTGGCATCTATATACAATGGAGTACTATGCAGCAATAAAAAATGACAAAATCATAGAATTTGCAGGGAAATGGATGGCACTAGAGCAGATTATGCTTAGTGAAGCTAGTCAATCTCTAAAAAACAAATACCAAATGTCTTCTTTGATATAATGAGAGCAACTATGAACAGAGCATGGAGGAAGAGCAGGAAGAAAAGATTAACATTAAACAGAGACATGAGATGGGAGGGAAAGGGAGAGAAAAGGGAAATTGCATGGAAATGAAGGGAGACCCTCATTGCTATACTAAATTACATATAAGAGGTTGTGAGGGGAATGGGAAAATAAACAAGGAGAGAAATGAATTACAGTAGATGGGGT